GAGGGAGAGGGGCTGGAAGGCGCACCCGACGGGAGGCCGGGAGGCCTGTGGGGGAAAGGGAGAGAGAAAGAAGAAGAGGAGGGCTGGCAGGACAAAAACACGGCCGGGGAGGGGCGAGGGACGAGGGGACAGAAGAGAGGAAAAAAAGAACGGGGAAAAAAAGAAACAAAGGCAAGCGTCAGGGGCGGCTGGGACCGGGATAGGGGAGGGAGAGGCCGCCTAAGGCAGGGTGACACCCCGGGAGGCAGAACAGGCCAGGAGGTGGGCCTTGGGAGGGGGACAGTGGGGAACTGGAGCCCCCCCAAAAGGAGTGTCCCGCAGCTTCCAGGTCCCCCCTCCCAGGCCGCGCCGCTGGTGGGGCGCCTCCGCTTTCCTGCGCCTCTGCCCGGCGAGAGCAACCCGAGGGAGGCCCCAGCCTCCAGGCGGAGGCGGCTGCCGCTGGCCCGAGTCCCTAACGCTCCTTCCCGCCCTGGCGCCGGGGGTGCCAGACTGAGAGCGAACAGGCCTCCTCCATCTGCTTCCCGAGTTGAGGCCTCCGGAGTTGACCCCGAAGAGCCCCCGCTTAGCAGAGACCCGTGCTTTAGGTCCGTCTGCACCGGCCTACCTTCCCGCGAGGCATGCAGACAGTCCAGAGAGGGGAAACTGAGGCACGGGAGACCACAGAACGCGACGTGGGGCTCCGTATCTCCCCAGCGCTCCACCCTTGGCCCCAAACCAATCCCAAACCCCCGCACCCCCCCCCACCCCTTGCCTCTTCCCCCGTCTTCCCGGCAGCCGCGATGAGAGTTTCCAGGCCCCCCCTCTCCAACCTTCCTGCTTCACCGTAGGGGAGCTCGCGAACGCCTGAAAATATCTTTAAATTAGGAAAAAGAGCTCAGCCGCCGGAGTCCTTTGGTCTATTAAAGGAGGAGCAGAGGCCACCGGCGCCCCCACCCCGCTCTGGCTGGACGCTTGCAGCCCTGACCGCAGAGCCAGCGGGAACGATGGTGGGGGCTGCCCAGCCGGCCCCAGCTGCGTCTCTTTGAGAGCCCCGGGCCCCCTGCCTGGTGTGCCAAAATTAGGACGGCGCCCCTCTCGGGCCCTTTTCATGCCCCCCGAGGCTGCTGGGGCTTCAGAAGCACTAATGAAGCTCCTTCCCTTTAGGAAGAGTGGGCCCGGGGAGCTCAGGCAGGGCCGTACTGAGGGGCAGGGCACTGGACCTCTGTCCTCCAAGAGCTGCCGGGGAACATGATGATGTGCCATGTTCAGCTGCAGCACACGCCCTTCCTCTGGGTCCTGGTGGCATCGGCCTCCTCCAGGGAGCCCTCCCGGCCTGCTGGCATTTGTTGCCAACTGTTTTCCTTAGGGGTTTGGCAGTGGGGTCTGGCTGCCTGGGTGCAGATCCATGCTGCACCTGCTTTCTGGCTGTGTGTCCTCCGGCAGCTCAGCGAGCTGCCAGAGCCTCAGTTTCCTCATCTGTCAAGGGAGGATAATTATGAAAACCTATGTCACAGGCCTGTAATCCTAGCATTCTGGGAGGCCGAGGCGGGAGGATCACTTGAGGCCAGGAGTTCGAGACCAGCCTGAGCAAGATCGAGACCCCCCCCCCTACTAAAAAATAGAAAAATTAGCCGGGCATGTGGTGCTTGCCTGTAGTCCCAGCTACTCGGGAGGCTGAGGCAGGAGGATCGCTTGAGCCCAGGAGTTGGAGGCTGCAGTGAGCTATGATCATGCCACTGCCCTCCAGCCTGGGCGACAGAGGGAGACACTGTCTCTTAAAAATAATAATAATAAATGGGCCTGTTTGTTGGTGCAGCCCAGAAAGACACAAATACCTTCGGGACAAAGCCAAGGGACATAAACTCAGGTTTCCAGGCACTCTGAAGTGCCCATCTGGTGAGAAGTGATAGAATTCACACATGAGCTGAATGTCAATGGAGTTGAAACTGCCTGGGATCAAATGCCAGCCCTGCCTGGGACTTACTGAGTCACCCTTAGGTATGTGGCTTTGCAGCTCTTTGCCTCAGTTTCCCTGGCTGTAAAATGGGAACAATGATAGCCCTACCTTATAGGGTGATAATTAAATGAGAAAAATGTCCCTCAGATCCTCGGATGTCAGCTGCACACAGTAAGTGCTTAATGAGTGTTGGCCCCATGCCTGAGTGGACAGCACGAGCCGGCAGAGCGTGTGCACGAGGAACAAATGTAGACAGCAAGCTGCTTTTTCAGGCACCTGAAAAAGAACCAAGGTGTATGGGAGAAACCAAGCACAGTCTGATTTGACACCTTAAATCACTCCATCGTCATTGAGCACCTGCTGTATACCAGGATCTGGCGTATGATTTAAAAAGCCCCCTCTGGCCAAGGGGATCCAGCTAGATGGAGGTTGACAGGGAGGAGAGACCCTGGCTTTAAGTCGAGTGAGAAACAAGGATGACTTGACCAGGGCTGGTGGCGTTGCAGGCGGGGACGGGTATATGGCTTCAGCATAGATTCTGCCGTTGGAGTTGACAGGCTTGGTTAAAGGATCAGATTTGAGGCCGGGCGCGGTGGCTCACACCTGTAACCCTAGCACTCGTGGAAGGTCAAGGCCAAGGGATCGCTTGAGCTCAGGAGTTCAAGACCAGCCTGAGCAAGAGTGAGACCCCGTCTCTACTAAAAAATAGAAAAATTAGCCGGGCAGCATGGTGCCTGCCTGTAGTCCCAGCTACTCAGGAGGCTGAGGCAGGAGGATCGCTTGAGCCCAGGAGTTGGAGGCTGCAGTGAGCTATGATGACACCACTGCACTCTACCCTGGGCAACTGAGCGAGACTCTGTCTCAAAAAAAAAAAAAAAAAAAGGAAGAAAGAAAGAAAAAATAGATTAGACGTGAGAAGTGAGAGAAAGAGGGAAGTCCACGGCGATCAACTAGATGGTTTACCAACCACCGTTTGCATACGCTCTTGCCCGCGTCTCTGTGGCAACCAGGGCTTCCAATGAGCAATGGAGGGTTCCAACTTGCCGTGGGACTAATTACTCCACAGCTTAGTGGCCTGAAGCTGCACGTGTCTATTATTTCGCAAGTTTTTTTCCAGGCCAGGAATCCAGGTTTGGCTTTGCTGGGTCTGGCGTGCAATCACGGAAAGGGGAACTCACAGGAGCAGAGGGCAGGACGGTGGCTACTAAGTCCAGGGTGCAGGGTTGGGGAGGTGTTGGTCAAAGGCTACAACATTTCGGCTGCACGGGAGGAAGAGATCTATTGCACGTGGTGGCTGTAGTTAATAACAATGCACATGAAACCCAAACTGTCCCCCCAAAAAAATAAAAATAAAAAAATAACAATGCACTGCATACTTGAAAATCGCTGAGAGTCTAAGTGTTCTCACCACAAAAAAATAGATAATGTGAGGTGATGAGTATAGTAACTAGCTCCATTAGCCTTTCCACAGTGTAGACATATTTCAAAACATCATCTTCTACACCATAACTAGATGCAATTTTTATTTGTCAATTAAAAAGTGTTTTGTTTTGTTCTTTAAGAGACAGGGTCTCACTCTGTCAAGCAGGCTGTTGCTGTAACTTGGAACTCCTGGGCTCGAGTGATCCTCCCACTTCAGCCTGATTACGGTTTTTTTTAATTTATTTTTTTTTTTTTTAGGCGGAGTATGGTGGCTCATGCCTATAATCCCAGCGCTTTGGGACGCCAAGGAGGGAGGATCACTTAAGGCCAGGAGTTCAAGACCAGCCTGGGGAACATAGTGAGACCCACCCCCCCCAACCCCTGCCATCTCTACAGAAAAACAAACAATTATTTTTAATTAGCCAGATGTGGGCGCCTGTGGTGCCAGGTACTCAGGAGGCCAAGGTGGGAGGATCACTTGAGCCCAGGAGTTTGAGGTTGCAGTGAGCTCTAATCAGGCCACTGCACTCCAGCCTGGGCAACAGAGCTAGACTCTGTCTCTAAAAACAGACAAATAATAATTAATTTTTAAAAGCCCATAACCAAATAGGTGTGGATGCATTCCAATAAAACAAAATGTGGCAGCCGGGGCCGTGGTCTCCTCTGAAGGCTTGATTGGGGAGGGTCCACTTCCAAGCTCAGGAGACATTGGCAGGAGTCAGTTGCTCATGGGCTGTTGGGCAGAGACCTCCTCTAGCTTCTTGCCCTGTGGACGTCTCCGTCGGGCAGCTGACAGCAGGGCAGCTGGCCTCCCTCAAGGCAAACGAGAGAGAGAGAGAGAGAGAGAGAGAGAGAGAGAGAGAGAGAGAATGCCCAAGGTGAACGCCAGGATCCTGTTGTGGGGCAGTCCCACCACACTCAAGGGGAGGCGATCACACAGGGGCAGGGTCTTTGGGGGCCATGCACACCAATCCAACGGCTTCCTGCTGCCAACTCCTGTGACTCTGTCTGCCAGCTGAGCTCAGATCTCCATGGGGGGCAGCCAGAAATTCCAGAGCATTCCCTTCCCCCTGCTGGCCTGGTGCGTATCCCTTAGGGGCTGGGAGCTGGTGGATAAATAGCTCCCTCCCACTTTGCATGAGGTAACTCTGAGGTTTTGCCCAAGAGGGGTTTGAAGCCCTAGGTGCCCCAGTATAACCTGTTCATTTCCACACTCCTCCCTTCCGCGTGTCACCTCCCCCTGCCCCACCAGCGTTTCCTGCAGTCACCTTCCACTCGTGCTCCCACCAGAGCATCATCGCAGGTGCACTTCGGGAGGACACGACCGCATTCGTTCCCTAGGGCTGCCGTGGTGTGATCAGTCACCACGAACTTGGGAGCTTAAAGCAACGGACAGTTGTCATTCTCCCTCAGGCCTGGAGGCTGGACGTCCAAAGCCAAGGTGTTGGCAGGGCCGGGCTCCCTTTGAAGGCCCTGGGGAAGGATCCTCGCCTCTCGCCTCTCGCTAGCCGTCGCTAGCTGCGCTCAGTCCTTGCTGTTCCTCGGCTTGTGGCCCCATCCCTCCTGTGTCCGCCTCTGCCTTCTCCGCGTGTCTCCGCGTGTTCCCTCCTCTTCTTGGACGGAGACCCGTGGGTGGATGCAGGGCTCGCTCTGTACCGCTGCAACCTCATCTTAACCGGTGACATCTGCGACGACCCTATTTCCAAATGAGGTCACGGCGAGTTCCGAGGCTCCAGGTGAACGTGGATTTTGTCCGGGGAGGCAGAGGGCACTACTCCGCCCACTGCGCAAACGGGACCATGCTGTGTCACCAACTGAGATGGGGGGGGGACAGCAGAAAGCGGATCTGGAGTGAGTCACTGGGGGCGGGGGGCAAGAGTTCTGTCTGGGATGTGACACTTGGGGGTGCCCGCAGGGCGCAGACCAGTGTCAGCGGAGAGGCCAGAGGGGCACGTGTCATTGGGAGTCGTCAGCTGTAGGTGGCATTTAAATCCTCAAGACCGGATGGCTAGGAGGAGAGGGTGCGCCCAGGACCCTCCCCCAGCATTAAGACCCGCTGAGGAGGAGGGACCACTGGGAGAGACTGGGAAGGGGCGGCCGTGGCGTGGGAGGCGAAGTCGGGGAGTGTAGGGTCCTGGAGGCAGAGAAAGGACCACTGGATTTTTGTCCCCTTCCAGTGGCTGGGTGGAGACAAAGGACTAGCTGGAGCGGGACGGAGAGAGGACGAGAGGAGAGTAGCTGGACCAAGTGCCAACTCTAGGGATGTCAGCTGGGAAAGCGACTGTTTCGCAGCCATCCCTTGGTACACGTGGGGCGCTGGTTCCAGGACCCCGTGCAGATGCCCAAAGCCATGGATGCTCCAGCCCCTTGTATGAAAGGGCGTAGGCCGAGGCGGGCGGATCGCTCGAGGTCAGGAGTTCGAAACCAGCCTGAGCAAGAGCGAGACCCCGTCTCTACTATAAATAGAAAGAAATTAATTGGCCAACTAATATATAGAGAAAAAATTAGCCGGGCATGGTGGCGCGTGCCTGTAGTCCCAGCTACTTGGGAGGCTGAGGCAGGAGGATCGCTTGAGCCCAGGAGTTGAGGTTGCTGTGAGCTAGGCTGACGCCACGGCACTCACTCTAGCCCGGGCAACAAAGTGAGACTCTGAAAAAAAAAATTCTTAACTTAGTTACACTTTGAAAGATGCTTTTTCCAAACAGAGTCACATTCACAGGCTCCGAGGGTATGGACATAAATTTTGGGGAGGGGTGGTGGCGTCAGCTTTCAACCCACTACAGGGAGAAAAGGACCAAGGCAGGGGATGGGGAGGGACAGCGGGTGACCTGGCTAGCCAAGTGCTAGTCTGAATGTTCATTTCTCCCCAAATTCATGTGCTGAAAATCCTGACCCCCCTATTAGGAGATGGGGGCCTTGGGGAGGTGCGTAGGGTGGGGACCCCACGAATGGGATTAGGGCCCTTACGCGAGAGGCTGGAGTCCCCTCGCCAAGTGGGGTTACAGGGAGAAGACTCCAACCTCCCTGCCTGTGAGCAAGAGGGCCCTCGCCAGACACGGACCCTGCCGGCACCTTGGTCTTGGACTTCCCAGCCTCCAGAACCGTGAGCAATAAACATCTGTTGTTTCTAAGCCGCCCGGTCTGTGGTGTATTTTTTTTTTTTTTTGAGACAGAGTTCACACAGAGCTAGAGTGAGTGCCGTGGCGCGCCTAGCTCACAGACCCTCCAATCTCCTGGGTCAGCGACTACCTGCTCAGCCTCCCGAGTAGCTGACCAGCACTGCACCACTACTGTCTGGCTGATTTTTCTATATATATTCAGTTTGGACCAATTAATTTCTTTCTATTTATAGTAGAGACGGGTCTCAGTCTTGCTCAGGGCTGGTCTTCGAGACTCCTACACCCCGCCCCCCAGCGACATCCGCCCCTGGCCTCCCAGAGTGCTAGGACTGACAGGCGTGACCCGCCGCGCCCCGGCCTGCTGGTGCTATTTCTTATAGCAGCCCAACATGCGGAGCACCAGGCAAGCCTCCAGAGCCCGCTGCTTCGTGCCGCTATCGGCACGCCAGCCGCAGGCGGCCGCGCACGGAGTACTCGCGCTCCCAGGCGCCTGGGCTCAGTGCTGGCGAGTCATGGCCCAAAGCTCTCCACAACAGCGAGGAAATGCCAAGTCTCTCGCCAGCACACGAACGCCAGAACGTCCTCCATGTCTCTGCTCCAACGCCGCCCCGGGCGCCCGCACCCCCCCCACCCGCGCCCGGGCCCGCGCGCCGCGCGGCCCGCCCGAGCACCCGCCCGGCGCCGTTCCTGGGACCCCAGACTGCCCCACAACTACCTCGCCAGGACATTCTCCCAGTTTCCTGACGCTGCGTCCCATTCCTTCTAAGCCTGCAGAGGTGTGCCCGGGGGAACTTCCGCACAGTGGCCGCTCCTCTGCAACCCAGTCGTGTCGTCGTCCTGTTAAGTAGCCAGATCTAGTTTTCTGGCCCTGACCCTGCCACTCCCTCAGAGCAGTTTCCACAACTGCAAGGACATAGTTTTGCAGAAGTACGCTTCCTCCGCTTCTAGACATCGTGAGCAGGGAGGTCAGGGCCTGGGAGACGCACTCACCGCCACACCCTCTTGTGTGTAGTCGGGCGTGGTACACAGTAGGTGCTCAGTAAACGTGCCCAGGAGGTTTCCGAACAAATCCCTTTGTCCAGGCAATGAGGCAATGGGGGGCTGGGCGGGTGCTTGGCAGCACCACCAACTAGGACAGGTCACCCTCGGTTGGCAGTGGGATGTTCTAGAATCTTCTCTGAGGCGAAAGGGACACTGTGCGCCACGCCACGACATCACCACACACACCCACGCACCACACACACACACAGAGGAGAAGGGCCCACCCCAACCAATTTCTCACGAAATATTCGTCCGCCAAGGCGAAAGCGAACCAGTCGTATTAAGCACCACGGCAACCGGCCGGGAAAACCCATTTGCTGCGACTTTATGCGCGCGGAACGCGCGGCTGCCGAGGGGAAATACGGAAGAGAAGCTCAGCTTTTGAGCACTGGGCTGAACATCACACCTGTCCAGTCAGAGGGAGAACAGATGGGTGGCCGGCTTTCTGATTTTTTTTTTTTTCTCTTCTCTTTCTCCTCTGCCTGGGCTCAGAGTCGAATCGACGTTGTCAGCCGCGGTTTGTTCCTGGTACAATGGGCGTGGACTGGGGGAGAAAGGAGGCCAGCGGGCGCTTGTGACCTCCGAGGACTGTCAGCACACTATCTGTGTCCTGGCTCGCGCTGCCGGAGCTGTGAGCCATCCCCACCCCCCAGAGCCTTTTTGGTTTTTGCATTTCGATAAACCCCGATTCCAGTCATTCCTTTATTTCCGTCCTGGGCCACTGTCCCCGAAGGCCGGGCCACCTCTGTCCTATTCGTCGCCGCCTCCCCAGAGTACAGCACACGCAGCAGTGGCCCACACAGCTGCAGAAGCCAGCCACCCTCCCCCACGGAGCCACTGCAACGCCACGTGTCACACCCTGACTTCACTACTGACACCGTTTCTTTTGTTTCCCTGGTGGATGGATCCACGATCCCGCCACCCACAAAGATAAGCCCCGCCGACAGCCAGTTCTCGGGTCGCGGGGTGGGGTGGGGAGATACAAACACGACTGAGTCATTCCGCTCTTTCAAAGCCACCAGCGGGACCAGGCGTGGTGGCTCACGCCTGTAACCCAAGCACTTTGGGAGGCTGAGGAGGGAGGATCGCTCGGGGCCAGGAGTTCGAGACCAGCCTGGGCAA